TCCTTCTCCCTCTGCCCCTCCCCCACCACGTTTACACACACATACATGCACATGCGTTGTCTCTCAAATAAATAAAATCTTAAAAAAAAAAAAAGGCTGACGCTGAGAAACCCTATTGTAGATGGACCATGATGAAGGGTCAAAAGAAGAGAGACGGCATGTCACTTTCCACCCTAGATCTAGAGAGGGAAGCCACTGGGTCCTTCCGACCCAAACCCATCCAACAATATTCCAGAAGAAAAGAAAAGCCAGTCAGACATAGACTTATTTAACTCCCAAGTTCAAGAGCACTAAGGAGTTCCATCCCACTCCAACCCTGGCTTCTCTATCACCTGCTGTTGCCATTCAGGTGAGCAGCAAGTGGTGAGGCTATACTCTCTTCTGCCCCATCCCGGGAGGTCGAATGTGACCTAGTTCAAGCTGGACCTCTGTGAAGATAAGAGAAATGCCATCCTTTGCAAGACGAACAAAAAGGATCCGGCACTTAACCCTTGCAGCCATCTTTAAAGTCCTGAAACTCGACCAGCTGCAGACCCTTCCTTGTTCAACCGCTGATCAGACATTCTGCTTACTCAATGAAGCAAAATGTAGAAGAAGTCTAAGTTTCCCAAGGCCATGTCCTTGAAAGAAATGTCAGGAGGCTGACATGCAGGCTAATAGGCAGCTCCCCCCCCGCCCAGTTATTTATCGTCTAGGATGGTGAGTTCACTCATTTGGCAATCCAGAAGGGGTTCCAAGAATCTATCTAACTTCAGCATTAAAAGAACATGGCCAACTTCCTCTTCAACCAAAATATACTCAGCTTTTTGTGGCAGTGAAGCTTGGGAACACAGCTTAAAATATACAGAGATCCTAGATGAAAGATAGCAGAGTAGTAAGAAGAACGTACCCCCTGTAAATAGATTAAAAAGAACTCCTAAGTCCTGGTGTCTGAAATATTGCCAGATATCAAGAGACAAACAAAACACTCCAGTCAAGGAGTCCTGATCCCGCTGGCTAGTTTGGGTCCGTTTGAGAATCTAATATATGATTCCCCTGTTACAGTTTCCCAATTTTTTTATTATTATTATTTTTACCCCAAGAATAATTTTTTATTCCCAGGAATTGCTGCATTTCCTGGAGTTGTAGTTTTTTGTTTGTTTTCTTTAAGGAGGTCCAAACCAGCCAAGTGCCAACAGTCTACATATATCTACAGAACAGCCTATCAGGTTTCCGCTTCCAAGCAGTCTAGTCTCATCCCAACCAGGAATGACTTCTGTGATTTTTGAGGTACTTGACTGTCACGGAAGCCCGTAGAGGACAGTCATGTGGAAGACATACAGAAAGAGGGGCGCCTGGGTGGCTCAGTTGGTTAAGCCTGGGCTAAGGTCGTGATCTTGGAGTCCAGGGATGCGGCCCCACATTGTGCTCCCTGCTTGCTGGGAACCTGCTTCTCTCTTTCCTCCCTGCGCGTGCTTTCTCTCATTGCCTCTCTAAAAAATAAATAAAATCTTTTTTTTTTTTTTTTTAAAGATTTTATTTATTTATTTGTCAGAGAGAGAGAGAGAGAGAGAGAGAGAGAGCACAGGCAGATAGAGTGGCAGGCAGAGGCAGAGCGAGAAGCAGGCTCCCTGCTGAGCAAGGAGCCCGATGTGGGACCTCTATCCCAGGTCTTGGGGATCATGACCTGAGCCGAAGGCAGCCGCTTAACCAACTGAGCCACCCAGGCGTCCCAAAAATAAATAAAATCTTAAAAAAAAGAATGATCTCTTGAAATGAAGACAAAACTCTAGTTTTATCTCAACAGAGATGACATCTATATTTTCAGAAAACCAGAAGTATTTGAATCTCTCTCTGAAGCCCTTAGGGAGGAAAGTCATGTGGAAGAAGTAAAAAAGAGTGATGTCTTGAAACCTGGAATGAAAACATGGAAAAGCTTCAAGATGACTGAGAGATAGAGCTTTCTTGCTGGTGGGACAGCGAAAAAGTAAATATCTGGACGTCAGAATTACACAGTATGTGGGGCACCTGGGTGGCTCAGTCAGTTAAGAGTCTGCCTTCACCTCAGGTCCTGATCCCAGAGTCCTGGGATCAAGCCCCACATCGGGCTCCCTGCTCGGTGGGGAGCCTGCTTCTCTCTCCCTTAGCCTGCTGCTCCCCCTGCTTGAGCTCTCTCTTCTCTCTGCCAAATAAATAAATCTTTAAAAAAAAAATTTTTTTTTAAAGAATTACATAGTATGTTTTCAATAGGAAGATTCCAGGAACCCTGAACAACTAGAAGAAAGTATAAGCTAGAGAAAAAGCCTTCCCATGGAAGGTGCCCTCCTCACCCACTGCAACCCCTCAAGGGTAACTTAGTAGCCGATTGTGTTAGAGTACAATGTCCCATATGTTAAACAATGTTTCTATCTGAGCTGACCAAAATGACTAGATAATAACAAACCAAGCTGGGGTCTTGGTAACTTCTGCTCTGTTTTCCTTTCTACCAATCTCCAGTTACCCAGAAAGACAGTGACTGCAACAGACCTCATTCACTCTGTGTAGGTGAAAACTCATTTTCCCAGCATCTAACCCATTACTGGGCTCAACCCCAATACATTTCTCATGCCAATGCCATTCATTCTCTTCCATCGTTCAAAAACAAAAAAATGTTCCAGACTTACCTTTGCAAGAAACTTAATTTCCCAGGTCTCTTCCTAGCATAAGGTTGGAAGCCAGCAGCAAAACAAAAACAAATGGGGGGGGGGGAGTCAGTTTTCAAGCTTTATTTTGAAACCTCAAAGGCCCAAAGAGTTACTCTTGGTTACAAGAATACACAGACACCCTAAAGCCATTTCGATTAAAATGATCCACTCAGAGCTAAATGAGAGAACTCACCCCCAACCAACTCCGCAGGCTTCCCCTAACTCTCTACTAACAGAGTCACAAAACAGTACCAACTCCCAAGAATTTCCAGCCTCAGTGGTTCATGGCAACTTGTGGGAAAACCAATTATCTTCCGCTACCTTCTCACCTGACTCCTCAATTCCTTAGGAGATCCACCTATTTTGTTACAATATTAACACTGACTTTCAACTTTAGGGAGAACCTGGGGCGGGGAAATGGTTACAGCTAAAGAAGGCGCTTTCTATCACTTCGCTTATCAGAGCCGAACTATCCTCCAAATTCTGTCTTCCGCCCCTTCCCTTAGCACACAGTGCGGACAAAATAGCCACCAGGGCTGCATCCACTCATACATCTACATTTCATCAGGGAATATTTTCTATATGCGAATACTGACCCCTCCCTCTTAGCACTTAAACAGCAAAAGAAAGGTCTGGACACTAAAGCACTCATTTAATTATCCCGGTTGCCTAGATGCCACCCTGTTTCCTGTTCCCTTTCTCAGACTTCCAGAGCCTCCACCCTGGCATACAGGGGTCCAACTCAGCTCGGCTGTTTCCCCATTCTTACCCTGCTAATTGCTAGAAACTAGAAAAGTCCTTTACTCCTTCTACACTTTGGTGTCAGTGACACTGGCTTCCCCATTTCCCCTTCTTTGGGTAACCAGGAAAAACAAGGGAGCAGTAAGTCAGGGAGCCTTTGGAAAGCAAATCCAGTTGAGCCCTCATCCAACCCCAATTCTCTGAGCCATTCGCTTCTGCCCTTCCCACCCTATTAAAAGCTAAAGGCCTGGCAATTAGAATTGGTTGCAACTGATGCCGCTTAACTCTGCTCTGTCTTCCTTTGGTGGGGGGCGGGGAGGGAAACCCCCAACCTCTCTCACCCGTGCAGCTCCACTGTCCTATCTCCCAGCCCATTCCCCTTCCTCCCAAACTTTCCTCCTAGACTCTCACTTTCCCCATTCCCTCGTCACACCGCCACGCTCTCCATTCCCCCAAACCTCCGTGCTCTCCTTTTCCACCCAAATTCTCCCCTAGGCCCTTCCCCCTCCCACCTCCAATGTAACACTTTCAAAACCTCCCCCCAAACGTCTGAAGTCCCCTCCTCAACCCTTCCCACCTCCTCACAACACCGCTCTCAAGAGTCCAGTCCCTCCCACCACATGCCACCAGCCCCTTCCCCTTCGCACCCCCAGCCGCTCCCTCCCGCGCCCACCGCCCTCAATCCGGCGGGATCGCAGCCCCACTCCCACCTCGGCCGCGCCAACACCCCCGGCCCGGCCCGGCCCGGCCCTTGTTTACGCCCCTCCCCGCGCCCACTCCCCCGCCTCGCCCCTGCCCTCTCCCACAGTTGCCACCTCCCCCGCACGCCCCCTCGGCCGCTCCCCTCCCCCACCTCGCAGCGTCCCGTCACCTCCCTCTCTCGAGGTTCTCGGGCTGGACGTCGCCTCCGCCTCCCCCTCCACTTTCCTTCCCCAAGCCCTCCGCGGCCCCGCCCGGCCCCGCCCCGTCCCGCTCGCCTCCCCCTCCCCACTCCGCCGCCCCGCCGCCTCACTCTCGGCTCAGGCTCGGCGCCGCCATGTTGGATCCATCCGCGCCGCCCTCCCGTTCCGTCGCACGCCGCCGCATCCGGGCTCTGGCCGCCGCCGCCGCCGCCGCCGCCGCCGCGGGCGTGGGGGAGGGGGGGCGGCCTCGTCCTGAGCAGCGCCTCCCGGAACTTGGCCGGTTAGCGGCGGCTTCGAGACCATAGTGAGGCATGAGCCGGGGTGGCCATGCTAGGTGAGGGCAGCCTGGCAGCGGCCTTAACCGGGGCGTGGATAGCTTCAGCGTGGGAAGGGAGACTAGAGACTGGCCGCCATCTTGCTTTGGGGCAAGCGGCACCGCAGGTTCTTCCTGACGGCGGCTTCGGGGCCTTAGTGAGGAGGCCGTGAGGGTTGCATTCTCGAGTGTGAGAACGTTGGGGGCGCCAGAGCTGGCTGCCGTCGACTTCAAGACCCATCGAAAGACTGGGACCAGCAGCCATGACTCATAAGGGCGGAATACTGCAAGGGTCGAACGGCTCCGCGAACTTCGGGAAAGGGTCACGATCGGGATTTGACCTTTGCCCCGAACTTCCGGTAAATCCGGACGCGCGGTAAACCTCCGTCCGGAGCCGACCGTGCTGCCCGCAGGCCCCCTCGGATTTCGTTCTTGAGCGTTTGCCTGTTAAGCGCCCGCTTCCCGGACTGGCGGGAGATGGGGCTGGGGGGCCGGGTACGTTCTGGAGCTGTCAGCGGCGTGTTGGTTAAAGGGGGTAATAGATGAGGCCCGTGAGAATGGGAGGGCGCGATTGCGCAAGGCCTTGTGAGTGCGTTGATTTTACCCGAAGGGCAGCGAGTCAACTCTGAAGAGTTGGCAGGGAAGTCAACAACCGTATTTGCATTTTTAAAAGATCGCTGGTTGCAGTGGGGAGCATGGGTAGGAGGGAACGAAGTTAGGGGCCAGAACAGTTGGGAAGCTCTTCTCCGCGAGACACGGCTGTGGTCTGACCCAGAGGAGGGAGAGTGCGGATGGGAAAAAACATCGGGAATGGGGATGAGGCAGAGGTTAGTCCGCAGTAGATTGAGCTGGGTGACCGAGGAAAAGTGATGCCATTTGCTCTTTGGTTTGGGGAGACAGGATGAGTTTCGGTGCGCTGTTCGTTTAGATACCCACTCATTGGACAGTCGAGTATGAGATCATGTGGGTTGGAAGCCCCAGAGTTTGGGGCGTGTGCGCGAGCGAGCGTGTGAACGTAGGTGTTGAAGCCAGGGACGTGGATAAGACGGTCTAGAGAGGAGTATCTGCATCTGGAGAATGAGAGGAGGGCAGAAAACAGATAAAGGGACACTGAAAAGGGGCAGACAGAAAGGGAAAAAATAATCCAGGAGTGAGGTACCAGGGAAACCGGTCAGACGGTTAAAGGTAACAGGTTAGGGGAGGTTTGTATTACGATGTGTCCATTGGGTATTGCAAGAGGAAGTCCTTTGGTAATTTTGGAGAAAGTTGTTTCAGAGATACTGTGGGATAGAAACCAGAGTGAAGTAAACCCAGTGACTGGAAATGGACAATGTAGAAAGAGTTTTCTGGTGGTGTTGACTGTAAAAAAAGAGGCTAGCCGTAGGGTGTAGCATGAGTCAGGATTCCACAGAAAGGGGAGGACTTTTAGATCCCTGTGGGACAGTCAGACCTATGGTACCAATGGCAATTGAATACGCAGATCTGAATAAGGGAGAATTAAATGGAAATTACTAAATGGAAAGAAAAGCATGAGTAGAAGAATACGGATGGCACATTTACACAGGCATTTAACAGTTAACCACGGGGGCACCTTGGGGCTCAGTCAGTTAAGTGTCTGCTTTCTGTCAGGTCACGATCCCAGAGTCTTGGGATCCCTCTTGCTCGCTCACGCTCTCGCTCAAATAAACAAGATTTTTTAAAAAATAACCATGAAGAATGGGCCTGAGAAGGATGAAGGATGAAGATTTCTACTTATTATTTTAGATCCATCTTCACTGTTTGAATTTGTTTTACTATGTACATATATTACTTTTATAGAAAGCTACTTTTTTTAAAACTCCAGTAATGTATAGGCCAGAAATTCTGAATCACGAACATTTCAGTGGCACTTGAAGCCGTGGATTTGGGCAAACTCCAGAGAACAGCAGAGGGCTAAGAAGAGTGCTCTGGGGGAATTCCAACATTTGTAATATGTGAAGAGGAGCCCTTGGAGAATCTTTGAAAAGGAACAGCCAATGAGAAAGAATAAAAATTAAGTGACGATTCTTATAGAATCTGAGGGAAGATAGTGTTTTTTTTTTTCCTTTAAGATTTTATTTATTTATTTGAGGGGGGCGAGAAAGAGGGAGAAGCAGACACCCCACTGAGCAGGGAGCCCAGTGCCAGCTTGGAGGCTCCATCCAGACCCCTGGATCATGACCTGAGCTCAAGGCACATGCTTAACCGACTGAGCCACCCAGGCACCCAGGAAGAGAGATTTCAAGAGGATCAGAGTTGTTAGAGAAGTTTCACATATCCCCAGAAAGGCAGCTAATAGGAAAGGTGCCTTTAGCTGCAGACCTAATTTTCCTGGAAGCTTGGTCAAATCCAGCTCGTGAACCTTCCCCCAGATATTACGCGGGATTTGAGCGCTGTGCTGTTCCATCCTTACCAATCACGGCTGCCAGTTCCAGTCTTCAAGGGGCCTTGAAGCCACCTCTGGCCCTACCAGTGCTGCCTCTCCTGATCCTTACTATAGCACTGAAGCTGCTATCAGGAAGAACCGGAGGGGGAGCAGGGTGGAGGCGCCTGGGTGGCACAGTCAGTCGAGCCCCTGCCTTTGGCTCAGGTCATGATCTCAGGTCTTGGGATTGAGTTCCACGTTGGGCTCCCTACTCAGCGAGGAGCCTGCTTCTCCCTCTCCTTCCCTCCCTGCTTGTGCTCTGTCTCCCAAATAAATAAATAAAATCTTAAAAAAAGAAAGAAAAACCTGTGTGAGGGTGCCTGGCTGGCCCAGTGGGTAGAGCATTCAGCTCTTGATCTTGAGATGGTGAGTTCAAGCCTCACATTGGGTGTAAAGGTTACTTGAAAAAATAAAATAAAAAATAAATTAGAGCTGGATTAGCTCTTTAGAAAAAAAAAAAAAGGAAGAAAAAAGAAAAGAGAGAGCTGTGTTGCAAGAACTGATGAAGATAAGGAATTGAAAGTAGGAGTATAGGTTGGAGTTGAGAAGGTCAAACAGTAACTAGGGAAAAAATACATGTAAATAAAAATAAACTCATTTAAAAAAAGCAGTAACTAGGAGTCATACAGATTTTCCTAAAACCACCCAGAATGAGAGGAAGAGCTGGCTGAGAGGTTACTGAACAAGATGCTGATGTCAACAAGCGTGAGGGCTAAAGGGTAAGGGAGCCAGTGGCATCACCTTCAAGGAGAAACGAGTTTTTGCAAGAAAAGGAAAGCACAGTTGTCTGGAGATGAACAGCCTCTGCTTTAGAAGGTTGCGTCCATTAGACAAAGTCGGAACTTCTACCCCACTCATTTTCCCCCTGAGCCCACCAGAACTCTGTTCCTTTGTACGCAGCCTCCTCTCCAGCCTGATGTTCTTCACAGAATGCTCCCTGGCTTTTCCCAGAGGAAGACTCATCAGGATCCAGACAGCTGTGATGTTCCTTGACATGAGCTCCTATCCCTTCCTTGGAGCCTCAGCCAAGAAATCATCCCTCCAACTTTCCGACACCGGCCGCTTCAGCTTGATCCTGATTCCCCTCCTCTTCTGCTTCTCAACACTGTCCCCACAGCTGTCTCTTCCTTCGGTGCCATCTTTAACCTTTCACGTGCTCCCAGTTCACTGTGTCCTGCCTGTCGCTCCTAACTCGCTAATGCTCAGTGATTAGAAAGCATTTTTTCTGAACTTGGGAAAATCTCTTTGTCACTTCTGCTTATTGGTCCTGTTTTCCCCCTCGGCTACATGTCAGTGCTCCAGATAGCTACTGTGTCCCCACTAAGTGTTGTTTTTTTTTTGTTTTTTTTTTTTTTCCCCAAATCAATGATCATACCAATTCAAATAGTAGATGTTGTACCTTTGTTGATCTGAATGCTCTGTTAGGACTGCTTGTCCCAGTCCATGCTGTTCCCCAACTCTGCCAAAATTAAAATCTTTACAGAACAGACATTCCCTTAAAGAAGATTCCACTGTTAACAACCCACTGTTCTAAGTATACTCTTGACTCTTCCAGGGCCATTCTGATTCCCATATCCCTGTCCCTTTTACTCTTGAACTTTATCCTACAGCAGCTTACCTTTCTGTTTTCTCTAGTTCTTGGGTCCCCATTAACTGCAGGCTGTTCCTGTTACTCATTTTCACCCAACATTTGACTAGCTCCGAACTTCATTTCAGCTTCAAACCCAACTATAAGCCAAACTATAAGCTAGAATTCCAGTGTCTCCTCGCTCCTGAATAGAAAGAGGAGGACCACCGTCACTGAATCATAATGATCTTTCTAAAACTCCTTAACCGGCTCCCTTTTTTTGTTCCCCCTGCTCTGACTTTAACCAATCTTTGGACGAGTTCCTTAATTTCTCTGAGCTTTTCTCATCTGTAAAAGGGCAAATACAATATCCACCCCATAGGTCATTTTTTTTTTAAAGATTTTATTTATTTGACAGAGATCACAAGTAGGCAGAGAGGCAGGCAGAGAGAGGGGGGGAAGCAGGCTCCCCACTGAGCAGAGAGCCCGATGCGGGGCTCGATCCCAGGACCCTGAGATCATGACCTGAGCCGAAGGCAGAGGCTTTAACCCACTGAGCCACCCAGGCGCCCCTCATTATTTTAATGATTATATGAAATTAACATATATGAGGTGTTAGCATACAGCCCAGCCCATAGTAAGTATTCTATAAATGTTACCCAATATTTACGTGCTACACTTCTCCCCGGTTTCAGAAACTTCCCAGGTTCTTTATCAGTGCTCTCTGCTGCCCCCGTGGGGACAACTTGCAAGTCACTGGTATCCTACAGGCCCTGCCCCAAAAGAGCCCTGTTATGCCAACCTAATTAGAGAATCAGTTCTTGGTTGGTTGGTCAAATAAAAATGCTATATTCCAGCCCATTCTCTATCTTTTTAAAAGAATGTGTCAGGGGTCGCCTGGACAGCTTAGTCGTTAGGCGTCTGCTTTTGGCTCAGGTCATGGTCCCAGGGTTCTGGGATCGAGCCCCACATTGGGCTCTCTGTTCAGCAGGGAGCCTGCTTCCCCCTCTCTCTCTACCTGCCTCTCTGCCTAGTTGTGATCTCTCTCTCTCTGTTAAATAAATAAATAAAATCTTTAAAAACAACAAAACAAAACAAAAAAACATACTGTCTGTGACATTCTCCTAGCTTTATTAATTTAGTAACACTGGCGAGGCACCTGGGTGGCTCAGTTGGTTAAGCATCTGCCTTTGGCTCGGGTTATGGCCCTGCAGTGCTGTAATGAAGCCTGGCATTGGGTTCCCTGCTCAGCCGGGCGCCTGCTTCTACCTCCCCTTCCCACACCCCCACCCCCACCCCCGCTGCCGTCCGCTCATGCTCTGGCTCATGCTCTTGAAAACAAAATCATTTTTTTAAAAGATTTTTAATTTATTCATTTGAGACAGAGCACAAGCAGGGCAGAGGGGCAGTGAGAGACGGAGAAGCAGGCTCCCCACTGAGCAAGGAGCCCAATGCGGGGCTGGATCACAGCATCCCAAGATCATGACCTGAGCTGAAGGCAGATGCTTAACTGACTGATGCCAACCAGGCATCCCAATAAGTAAAATCTTAAAAAAAAAAAAAAAAGATTTGGAGCACTTGGGTGGTTCAGTCAGTTAGGCATCCAACTCTAGGTTTTGACTCAGGTCCTAGTCAGTTTTTGGGATTGAGCCCTACAGCCGCAGCCCTCACCGCCAACTTTGCAGGCTTCCTGATCAGTGGGGAGTCTGCTTGAAACATTTCCTCCCTCTGCCCTTCCTCCCACTCATGTTCTCTTTCTTTCTCTCTCAAAGCAAATAAATTGTATTAAAAAAATCTAGGGGCACTTGGGTGGCTCAGTCGTTAAGTGTCTGCCTTCGGCTCAGGTCATGATCCCAGCGTCCTGGGATCGAGTCCTACATCGGGTTCCTTGCTCAGTGGGGAGTGGGCTTCTCCCTCTCCTGTTCCCTCTGCTTGTGTTCCCTCTCACTGTCTCTCTGTGAAATAAATGAGTAAAATCTTAAAAACAAAAATCTAGTAACACAGGCAAGGTAAGTCATTCAGTCATTTATTTAATAAATATGATAACCATCTACTGATGTCAGATGCTGTGATAGGCATACAGGAGGGGACACACAGTGGTGAACAAAACAGACATGTCTTCATGGAGCTCACTAAGGAAAAAAATATTCTAAATTGAGATAGGGTCTATGAAGGAAAGGAACAGAAGGCTGTGACAGGAAAACGAATGATCTGGGAAGGTCTCCTGTTGAGGAGGTGACATGGAAACGGAGACCAGAGGGCCAAGATAGAGCCAGTCATCTTGCGGAGAATGGGGAGGGGTATCCTAGGCCGGGGACACCTGCAAAAGGTCCAAAGGCAAGAGAGACCCGACACCCTGGGAGCCTGGATGACTGTGGGCATCTGGAAACCACAGCCTTCTTTCTCATTGCTCTAAATCACTCTTTAATAACTCCTCCATAATTTTACTAAGAATCAATAATCTTTAATTTCCAGAATTCACCATCTAGAATTTCCCTCTTTGAAAATGTGGACATTTGCCATATTGTGAGTTCTTTAGATTATATAAAGGGGACACAATATCACTTACATAATACTTCTGATTTCTAGAATACCATGTGCCCAGGGCCTGAACTCATTTAAAATGCTAAGAATCCTGTTACTATTTTAGTTTATCATTAATTAACTTACAACTAACAGAAGTTTCCTCCTCATATTTCATCACTTCCTCATGTTCCAAGCTGCAGCTATTATATACATTTTTATATAGCTAAAATAATAATGTAATTAGCTTTATTGCAGATGATATCCTATTTACCTAGGCAACTCATGAGAATCCATTTTAAAATTACTACAAATAATAGTAGAATTTAGTTAAGTGGGAGGAAAGTAACATGCAGAAATAAATATCCTTTACATATATAAACAGTAAGTTAAAGATGTAATTAAAGAAAAGACTCCATAGCAACAAAACAGATAAAATGCCTGGGAATAACCTTAACAAGAATGTGCAGGATCTGTCTGAATTTTAAAATGCTACCCACGTAAAAGAAAACTTGAACAAA